AGATCCGACGTGTTAATTTCTTTTGAAACCTTTTTTGAACAATTGATTAAAGGTTTAGAAACAATATCACGTGTGATAATGTCATTAAAAATATTTTGAGGATTTTCGTCAACTAATTGCGTCACGCGTCGACCAAGACGCGTCTCAAAATCAGCCGATAACAAAATTTTAAATTCTGCATCAGGAAGAATATTAGTTGACACATCTCGTCCAACTACAACAAATCCTTTTTTTTTTGTTAATTTCTTGATTTCTTGATTAATTAACGATCGTATTTCTTCATTTTTTGAAAGCTCAGACGCCTTTTGAGAAATATCGAGTGAAGAAAATGCACTTAAATTGGAACAGTTAATTAGAGTATCATAAGTATGTTGATTAAAATTTGTAGAATTAATATTGTAATAAGCTAAATATCGATAAAATAAACCAGAATCGATAAAATTAAAATTTAATCGTTTTGCTAAAGAATAGCCAATAGAAGTTTTTCCAGAGGCGGTCAGACCGTCAATAGCAATATTGAATGTCATCGTTATTGAATAAATAATAAACTAATCGGTCATTTGTTTGACAGATTAGAAAAATATATATTTATTCAGGAATTTCATAAATTGTTGGTAAAATATGCTTTCGATATAATAAAGTGGAAAAATATAACAAAAGTTGAATTTTTTCCACAGAATCGATATATGTTAAATCGATATTTTGTTTTTTTGATTTATAATGACTCAAAATTTTTCGTAAATGAATAAAATATTTTTCCTTAAACTTTTGCGCTAATTCAAAACTATTAGGATTTCTTACAAATACAAATTCGCAATCAATCACAAAAAAACGTAAGGATAAAAAAGACATTTTACGGATTTATTTTTCCGATTGGTGCAAATTGCACTAATCGGATAATATATTTATTTATTAAATATAATAATAATATAGAATAAAAAATTAATAACATTTGATAGAAAAATTTTGAACATCTTGTTCATTTTTAAATAATGTCACAAATTCATCATTATCCACAACACCCAAACATTCATGTTCAATATTATTAATATCTGACGTATAGAATTTACATTTTTTGAATTGAGTATGTGTACCATTCTTATCTTTTTGACCAGAAGGAAATGTGTATCCACATATATAAACACATCGGCATTGTGATAATATTTTTTTACATGCCGCACAACATTCATGTGAAAAAGAGTTGTAACAATTCCAACAAGATCCACCATTAAGACCAAAATCGTATTGGTGTTTCGTGTTAACACGATTAATATCGTTTGCTTTTAAGAAAAATTCGTATTTATTTATATTTCGATTCTTTTCAAGAAAATCATTAATAGATTCGTATCTGAGAGAATAATTTGGTGGTTGTTCGATATCAATATCAATTAAATTTGGGGGTGATTGGAAATGTTGTTGAAAATATATATTATTAATTGAAATAAGAAAATTGATAACAGCAGAGATTAATATATTAAAATGATAAGCTAATTGAGAATCCATTTTTAGTTATTGAATAAAAAAAAGATGAACAGAAAATTTTCTGTTCGGTATATTTATACTGAACAGAAATTTGGAAATTGAGGATGATATTCTGGAGATCGATTAAGAGAGATTAAACACAATTCGACAATCGGTTTAATTTTGGATATGTTTATTTTCTTCTTTTTTGCTCGCTTAAAGATAGATTTCTTGAATTTTTGAAGCAATTCACTCTCCTGTTTATAGATAGAGGATGTCGTATCGTTAAGATTTTTAACCCAAAGATATATCTCATAATCTAATTTTATAGTACGAAATGTTTTTTTAATTTTCATTAAAGAACCTTTCTTATTCATGTTGATTAAACGTTCGTTCTTAGGAAAAGATTTATCGACAGATTGAAGAAGCTTAAAGTAATCACATCTACGTCGAAATGGACAAGAAGATCTTTGATGACGTTTATCATAATGCCAAAGATGGGGTTGAAATTCTTGTCGATGCGCTTCTTTTTGCCAATTCGTTTTATCTGATCCACATTTACAAATAAAAAATTCGTTAAAAGGAATGTGCGAAGATTGTTGCAACATATCAAATTTTTCTTTCGAATTACGTTTGTCATATTTAATAACATATGACCGTAAAAAATCGATATTTCACCAAGAAATGCTATTACGAGTCACAAACGATTCATGAAATACTTTCCATCGTAATAGAGAATATTTCGAGAAATTCGTTCGTACATCTCTCATAATAGACATTTTGAAATAATAATTTATTAATTATTGTAAAAATAATTTAGATTATTATTTTCTGAATACAGTTCAAAGAACTCTTGTATTCGGTTATCAAATCCTGAGATTCGATGCGGTTTCATGAGGTGAAAAGCTCAGCTTTTATAGCTGAGAAACGGTTCATGTCAAGTTTTTTTCTGCAAGATGAAATGATTTGAATTATTATTTTTCCAAATTCGTAAACAATTATTAATTAATTCTAAAAGAATTAATTAATTCCAAATTCGTATTTTACGAAATAAGAAGTTCATTGAATTATTAATTATTTCCAAATTCGTATTTTACGAAATAAGAAGTTCATCAAATTAGTGATCTATTCCATATTCGGATTTTATGAATTTGGAAGTCAAAAGACAGACTCATTGTCATTCCAAATCTGTAAAATTCGAAATAAGAAGTTCATTGTCTCAATGAACTTCTTATTTCGTAAAATCTGAATTTGGTATAGATTAATAATAATTTTAATTTCAGATTAAGTAAGCATAAGCAAATTTATTTTTTTTAACGAATTCGGATTAAAATTAAAAAAATATATATTTAAACAACTCGATTTAAAATTTTTAAACAAAAATGGCAGCACAAAAAGTTTTTAACATACCAGAATTAAACTTGATAATCATGAGAAGATGTACCAACATCGAATCATTTTTTTTGATTAATCGTCAATGTTATCGAAGTGTGTTTCCCATACTTAAATATTTAAAAAAATATTTTTTTTTCTTTAATAAATACAAAGAATATAAAAAAACAGAAGAAAATATTTTTTGCCTTTATTATAATGATTTTGAAACAGTACTTTCTCCTCATAGTATTTTATGTAACTGCAATGTTAGAGCAAGATTAAGATACGTAAGAAAACCAACTGAAAATTTAGGTAGATTTTTCGTAAATTGTTATAAAAGAAATTGTAAATTTTTTAATTGGTGGATAGATATCAAGCGAAATGATTTTCATAAAAATGATCGTGCAGATTTTCTTATTTGTAAAAACGGAGATAATATTTTTACTTTAAAAAAACAAACCGATAAAAGTATTAATTACTTTTACGATAATGCTTTTTCAAAATTAATTCAAATCCAAGAAAGATTTGAAACTTATTCTTTAGTTTATCGTTTAATGAATATATTAAACACATACGAATACGAACAATTAACTTTTTAAATTTTTCATTTATATTTTAAATATATTTATGTATAATATTTTTAAAAAAAAATATTATGTAGTAAAATCAGTATTTTTAAAATCTGACTTGATAATAAATGTTTTTGTTATAGAATTGAAAATAGTATTTTTTAAATGATCAAAACTAAGTTTGAATGAACATTTTGAACAAAAAGTATGACGACAATAGATATTTTTTATATCCAAGTTTGTAAAATTAAATGGATCTTCAAAATAAAATGATTTTTGTTTACAATTTATAATTTTACAATATGGGATCATTGTGCCACATTCAAACAAAAAATCTACATCATAACATCTTTCACAAAAATCTTTTAGTATCTCATCTTTAAAATTTTTTTCGTAAACGTAAACAAAATTATTTTGTAATTTACAATATGGAATACCGAAATTGTTATATAAAATTTTACATTTTTGCGCAGTGTTTGTTCTTTTACCTTTAAAATATACAAAGTCGTTTTGAACATGATCAATTTTGTAAAATAGCAATTCTTGATTTAATTTTTGATCTTTTTTACGTAATCGGAAGAAAATATGTCGTTTGGGATTAATATCTCTCCTCGTTCTCAAACTTCTAATATAAACATCGCGAAATTTTCAACAAGTTGTTTTAATTTTTCCCTTTGTCTTGGTGACAACATTTCAAATATGTTTAATAAAATTTCATTACTGAGTTTCTCTATTTTTTTTTTACTTTATTTTAATTCATTTCTTCTTTTTATATTTTATTTTGATTAAAAAAACTTTTTCAAGAAAAAAATAAAACAAATATGAATATAAACAAATAACTTTAATTTAAAATAAAATCAAGATTTGTTTTTTTAATATTCTCTTTCAATTCCATAGCTTTATTCTTAGGTTGTGGACCATGTTTTTTACGATATTTTTCGTATTCGCATAATATATTTCGCTTTTCATATTGGAAACATGGTTTAAATCCATCACATCGAATTTTCTTAATTCGACACCGATTACATGCAGATGTGATGTAATGTTTCATTTTTTAAATTAAAAAAAAATAAATATTTTTTTTAACATTTTTATAATGATAAATTCTCAACGGAAAAACTTAAATTTATATAGAATTTAGAATTTATTTAAGAATTAATTTCAGAAAAACTCTAATCTAAGAATCAAATTTAGAAAAAAGAATTTAGAATATAGACATGAACCAATTAAATAAAATAAAATATATATGGAAAGTAATACGATAAAATTTAAAATTTTATTTAAGAATTAATTTCGGGAAAACTCTAATCTAAGAATCAAATTTAGAAAAATAGAATTTAGATTTATGGACCAATTAAATAAAAAATAAAATATATATAGAAAGTAGCACAAATTATTTTTTTATAAAAACGACAAAATCGGATATTAGTTACATATATTTTTTATCGACGATTGCATATTTTATATCTTAAATGTCTAAACATAAATTTTATCTAAAACGAGAAAATGGAAGAGAAAAATATTCAGAAGAATTTTCAAAAAAAAAAGAAATGAAAGAAAAAATTTACAGACTTGAAAGAAAATTAAAAAATTAAAAGAGAACCTAAAAAACGAAAAACTAGAAAAAAAAGAAATCGAATCATGGGCCTTATGGTGTGAAGACATGATTATCGAAAACCATGGACTTCATGCACTTAAAGAAGAAGAATATAATTTTAAAAAATCTATTCAAAATAAACCAATCATCGAAAAGATTGAATTTATTAACGATTTTACAAACGAAATAATCGAAATTTCAGAAGAAGATTCAGATGAAATTGATGACGGAATTGAAAACTCCGAAGAAATTTCTGAGAATGAAATCGATGACGGAAATGAAAACTCCGAAGAAATTTCTAAAGATGAAATCGATGACGGAATTGAAAACTCTGAAGAAATTTCTGAGAATGAAATCGATGACAGAATTGAAAAATCCGAAGAAATTTACGAATATGAAAATGAAGAAGATTTTATGACATATTTTGATAGCAATATCAGTTATAATTTTATCGATTCGACTTCGGATAACATTTTTTCGCACGAATATTTTGATAATTTTAACTTTTTTTATTCGACGAATTATT